TAAAAGACCTCTCCAATCAAATCAGTGGTATCTCTAGAGTCGAGTCACGTGTAGCGGCGCTGCGCCGACACGCGGTTCGGGTCCGAAATCACGCCAAACTCGTCGACTGCTATTTGTCCACATTTTACAAAAACAAAGGCATCTTCACGTTCGGCGCCTCCTCTCGACTTTTGGCCACAGATATCACTGAAAATCCGCTCAAATACAGGGTATATAGCGGCGCTGTATTGGGACAGTCACACAACATATCCAGATATGATTTACCCGATCCCGGAGTCTACAGAGAATTCTTCAGGTCATACCTCTTAACAATTGCTATATTAGTCAATATTGGTTCTCATATACAGATCGAATCCATTGATTGACTTCAAGCCATTGACGTCCACGTGTTCGTACTTCAAGGGCTGTCCGATCGACAAATTGGATATCACTATCGCTTATCAATTACCAGAATTGGTCGGCAAATACAAGAAATTAACACAAATACAACCCTATCTATAGTTATTGTATAATAGATTTATTTTAAGACAATTCAATACAAAATAAAAACAATTTATTGTTTATTTAATTATTTAAATGACGAGTTTTGGGCACTTTTACAGCATTATTGAGTCAATCCTTCATATAATCTATAGTATTGTCTATAAGTGAACACTAATTGCATTGTTTGGCAACAATGGTGTAGTGATGAGCGCTTCAGCACCTGATGGCGGTTCCAATGGCCATAAATGTGCCGAAAGTGCCGCCGCCCTGAATCATCACCTTTGCCATCGATGACACCAGTTCTCGACCTCTAAGTCCTAATCTATAATACAATCATATAATCACAATGTGGTCATCATGTGGTCAACAACTGTCGCAATCGTCGTAATGCATACCTCAGAGCATTGACGCCCCCAAACACGCCTCCGGAGGCCAGACCCACACACATACCCATTGCGAAGCCATACTTCACTCGATCCCAACACGAAGGCTGCGATCGCTGCCCATAAATGTTACCCACGGCTGGCATCACAACTGATCACACCATCAATCGGGAAATCAATCAATCGATATATCAATCAAATCACCACTCATTCAATGGATTCCAAAACACTATCAATGCTTTCAAAGCATGTCTTCATTCAATGATTGAATCAACAAAAGTATGTATTCATAACAGAGTCGGTGTTCAACACAGTATTCAATACAACATTATTGTACTGTACTGTGCGTACAATCTGTATAATACTGTACAGCCATACAAGTCATGCGCGCTTCACTCCGCACATGTCTCGAGTCTTTGTAATGCAATGCCTTTAAACGAGTCATAACACCAATAGGCTCAGTGGTCTAGGGGTATGATTCTCGCTTCGGGTGCGAGAGGTCCCGGGTTCAAATCCCGGCTGAGCCCTATCACAAACTTACTTTTTATTTATATTACCTGTAAGTCTTACAGTATACTGTATTAGTACTTTATTTTAGTTGTTTCATTGAATAATGAATCATTTAATGTAATAATGTGGTCGATTTAGGTTTACGGTAGTAAACAATACTTATCAAATCAACACATTCCAGTCATCCAATGCTTACAATTTTATAACAACAGTTTGCATTTGATTAGATCTAAAATGATTTTAAAAATGAATGTTTTTAACTTGATTTGATACAAATGTGCGTTCATATACATTGCAATTCAATGCTTAAGTTTAATACTAATACTGTATTAATAATACCATAAATGAGTTTTAATATTGGGTCTACGGCTAAGAATTAGGTGCCAGTAATCAAATCATATACACTGTACAAGTATTCAATTAGTCGAATACGAGTAATAATGATAATTACCGTATATATTGTAGTGATTTAATTGTTTTATTAGTGAAAATAATATATTAAAAATTAAAATATAATGACAATTATTGGATTGAATTGCTTTGGTTTTAATGAATTGAAATACAAGATTGTATTGATAACAACGATAACTAATGAAGTGATAGTAACGGACATACTTTGGAATATATTATATATTTGGAAGATATAAACACATGATTGAATGACAACTTCTCTTATGTTTTTCATTATTTCAAAATACAAAATAAGTTTACAATTAATGAGAAAATGCAATGTATTGTGAATTTTATATTAATTTATACAATAATAAGCGATTTATAG